AATTGTTCTATAATTGCAGTTCAAACCATAACTGCTATGGTTTGAATGTGTCACCTCCAAATATCAGGTTTTGAACCTTAATGGCCAACGTAATGATATGAAGAGGTTGGGCCTTTAAGAGATAGGTCATGAGGGCTCCTTCCCTTGTGAGCTGGAATTCAGATCCTTTTAAGGCTTCACACAGCGTTCACCTCACTTGCCCTTCCACCTTCTGCCATGTGAGGGCAGACATTCCTCCCCTGCGGAGAATGCAACAACAAGGCGTCCTCTTGGAAGCAGAGAGCAGCCCTCACCAGCCAACCAGACCTGTCAGCACCTTGACCTTGGATTTACCAGCCTCCAGAACTGTGAGAAATACATTCCTATTGCTTATAAATTACCAGTCTCAGGTTTTATTATAGCAGCAGAAACAGAGACATGCATCTGCTAATTTTCCAAATTCAGGGGATAAAAAAGCAAGTTATTAGTAAGAAAAAAACAAATTCCTTCACGATTAGGATTTGACAACTGTGTCACAACTGTGACAATTTATCAAGTCTGTGATCTTACTAGCAATTTCCATCATTATGTTTAATAAGTCATATGGTAAAATAAGCTTAGAATTGAATTAAATATAGATTTGACAGATTATTCTTCCATGACATCAGCAAATTAGAAAAAATGGAAGCATTTTAAGGGACTCATTTGAGGTGAGAATTCATTCTGGGGCAAGAATACTTATTGTGCATTCTGTTTACAATACAGCAGTCACCATCATCTTCTATATACAAGAGGGGTTCAAAACCTTAGTGTATAAAACCAAACTCTCAACCATTTTTTCAGCCTTTTTGTGTGTCTTTTCTACAGAAGCGAAAATACTGTGCCATGAAGTTCTTCCTTGATTTTTTTTTTTTTTTTTTGAGACAGAGTCTCGCTCTGTCACCCAGGTTGGAGTGCAGTGGCGTGATCTCGGCTCACTGCAAGTTCCACCTCCCGGGTTCACACCGTTCTCCTGCCTCAGCCTCCCGAGTAGCTGGGACTACAGGCCCTTGCCACCACGCCTGGCTAATTTTTTGTATTGTTAGTAGAGACGGGGTTTCACTGTGTTAGCCAGGATGGTCTCGATCTCCTGACCTCGTGATCTGCCTGCCTCGGCCTCCAAGGGATCACAGGCGTGAGCCACTGCACCCGGCCTCCTTGATCATTTAAGAATGATCTTTTTCTTCTACAAAGTGGCATGTCTCTACTGGAAAAGTGAATGTTGTGGCTGCCATCTCACAGCCCAGCTTTTGACTTCGAATTGAAACTCCAGTGTGGGTGATGCAAAACTGGAGGCCCCTTTGTTACCTCACTCTGTAAAGCAAGGGCCTAAATGATTCTAAAGTCTGTTGCAAGAAGGGAATAAAACAGAAGACCCCAATCTGTGTCTTTCCTCATTTGTAACTGGATCCAACAAACGTGCTAAGTAACAAGATCAAAATGAGGAGGGGGATGTGTAGTAAATATTGTATTTAACATCTTAATTTTTGTTTGAGTGTCTACACTGACTGGCACAGCACTAGAAAATCTCTTCCCCCGTACACTGGCTCATTGAATCCTCAGATTCACACTGGGAGTTAGATTATAGAAGAGAAGAACATGGTAGAGAAAATCATCCAGTCGGCATGCAGTGGCTCACACTTGTAATCCAGGCATTTTGGGAGGCCAAAGTGGGTGGATTGTTTGAGCTCAGGAGTTCCAGATCAGCCTGGCCAATATGGCAAAGCTCCATCTCTACAAAAATTAACCAGGTGTGGTGGCATTCGCCTGTAGTCCTAGCTAGTTGGGAGGCTGGAGTGGGAGGACTGCTTGAGCCCAGGAGGCAGAGGTTACTGTGAACCAAGGTCCAAGATTGTGCCACTGCATTCCAGCCTGGGCAATACAGTGAGACGCTGACTCAGAAAAAATAAAAGAAAATCAGAAAATCATCCAAGGTTACACAGGTGGTAATTGGCTATCAAGTTTCAAAATTATACTAGATTTTTTTCCTGAAGTGTAAGTTTAACTTGAATATAAAACGGTATTAAAAGAAAAACTTCAGCTGAATTAAATTTAAAGGAGTTTAATTGAGCAATGAACGATTCGCGAATCAGGCAGCTCCCAGAATCACAGCAGATTCAGAGAGACTCCAGCGGTGCCTTGTGGTCAGAACAAATTTATAGACAAAAAAGTGAAGTGATGTACAGAAATCAGAAATGAGGTACAGGAACAGCTGGATGGGTTACAGCCCAGCATTTGCCTTATTTGAACACAGTCTGAACCCTCAGCCGTGTATGAGTGGTTGAAGTATGGCTCCTGGGATTGGTCAAGACTCAGCGATTGTTACAGGCACGTACTCCTAAGTTAGGTTTTCATTCCTGTCTACCTATTAAATTAGGTGGCAATTCATCCACAAGGATTCAAATATAAAAGTACCGAGTCCATCTCAGGCCATATTTAGTTTGCTTTAACAACTGCTACGGATGTATTTGGAAATACATTTCTATGTCGTGGCTGACTATCCTTTACAACAGGTATATTGATGAGGAACTCAGAAATTGACATTGGCACTTCTATGCTTAGTCAAAAGAAGGATGGGGCTTGTTGTGTGACAACCTGTGATATGGTAGAATAATAAAAAATATATATATTGGTCTTTGTCCCTGGTTCCTGACATAGAGCTCCTAAAACTCTTGTAGATACGGATGCTAGGATAATCTTTTGTTCTAATATTTGGTTTTTGACCCCAGTTCCTGACACAGAGCTCCAAAATCCCTTGGAATTTCCTGGGTGATAGGAACATCTTTTGTTCAGATGAAGTGAATCTTGGTGAACCCCTAGATAGCTTTAGGATGGGGGTTGGTTACCAGGGAAACCAACCATGTGATTATGCAGCTGGAACTTTCAGCTCCATCTTGTGACCTCTGGGGAGGAGAAAAGGGCTCAAGTTGAGTGATCACCAAATGGCCAATGATATCATCAATTGTGCCTATGAATGAATCCTCCATTAAAATCAAGATTCAGGGATGTTTGAGATAGCTGAACATATGGAGGGGCTGAGAAGGCATGGAAGTTCCATACCCTTGCCCACATACCTTTCTCTGGGCATCTCTTCCATCTGGCTATTCATCTGTGTCCTTTGTAATATCCTCTATAGTAAATGGGCAAACATAAGTAAAGTGTTTCCTTGAATTCCGTGAGTCACTCTAGCAAAGTAATCAAACCGGAGGAGGGGCTTGTGGGAACCCAGATTTGTAACTGGTTGGTTAATCATAAACAACATATAGTCACAACCTGGGACTTGTGATTGGCATTTGAAATGGGGGACAGTCTTTTGGGACTGAGCCCTTAACCTATGGGATCTGACACTAACTCCAGGTACACAATGACAGAGCTGGGTTAAATTATAGGACATAGAGTTGGTGGCCACTGGAGAATTAGTTGTCAGTGGGAAGAAATTCCCATACATTTTGGTGACAAGAGGTGAAGGGCAGTATGGAGTGTGTGAGAGTAAAGAGAAAAGAGAGTTTTGTTGTTGTTGTTTTTTTTTCCCCTCTCAGAAAAATCAAAGCCCAATTAAAAGATGAAACGGCTGAACAATTGCCAGCCCATATAGAGAGCTAAATCCTCACTGGGATCACACATGATGTCAATTAACTGTGTTTCCACAGGTGATCCGTTACACAGGTGGAGAAATGCAAGTTAGTCTGGTCCTTCTCCACTACAGTAGACAGAGTGGCTTAGAAATTAAAACATTGCTCCTTGGCAGAGGTATGTACCTACATTCGCATACTTCTGCAATTCACACATACAAATTGTGCAATGATTCCTTTCTTTGATTATCAAAAATTTACTTCCTTAAATATGCCTCCAAAAAGGTTATCTGGTTCTAAAGATTGCACACAAAAAAAAAAAAAAAACGGGAGTAGAAGAAAAGTGTGATTGCTGAAAAAGCAGAAATGAAAGACAATTCCAGTTGAGTTAAATGTTCCACATTTAGGGCATGTAAAGATACATGCCAGTATATAATTTTTATTAAGTACACACTAAGCAATGGATAACGAAAATAATGGCGTGTTTTGAGGAAACCCGGGCTATTGATAGTACAGGTGGTGACAGAAAATACCATACTTGTGCTGGTATTTTGAAATGGTAGATGTGCTCACTGATTTATAAGTTTAAAGCTATAAAATTAAAGCACGCTGTAACAAACAAGATGCAACTGTTGCTATAAAACTTCCAAGTCCTTAACCCTTCTTCCTCCCACTGAAATAATTGTTTTTAGAGCATGATTTTTGAGGTTTCTGTGGAGCACAAATGTCAGTTCCTGCAGAACAGACTGTAGCGGGCTTGCATACAGTTGCATGGGTTGCAGTGAACTTTAATACTGATGATGTCAGGATATTCTGTTCTGATACATATGCAAAGTTTATTAATAAGCACAGCATCGGTATTTTTAAATCGGTAAATATTTTAAAGTACCACTGTTTTATTTATCCTGTTCGTCAAATCTTAGCATATTCACTCTTAGAGCTATCCTTATAACCACGACCTGTATTCACAGTAGATTTTTTGTATTTCTCCTTCATTCCCCCAACCCAGCCCCCACCCTACTGCCTACATTTTTGGACCCCATAAGGAGGAAAGGGGGCAAGAACTGTCAGAAGGAAGAAGGCCTATGAAAATCAGCGTTTTCCAAAGTGCTCAAGAACTTTACTTCGATCCCAAATCAGTTCTCTGGAGGAGGTAAGAGTTTATTTGCCATGGCCCGATGCAAACCCTACCCTACGCGCGGATTTTGTTCCTCCCCAGAGCCTCTTGAGAGTCTTGGTTAATTCCTAAGCTGCTAACAGACTCCAGGGTCCCGGAGGGAGAGCCCTGCGCCCCTCAGCGCTGCTTAGGGTCTTCCTGGGCGGCTGCACTGGGAAACTAAGCTGGCCCAGGCGATGTGCCCCGGGCGGCCCCAAGAAAAAGAGGAGCGGCTCAGAAGCCACGGGCTTTACCTCTGGGAAGTGGCCATGAGGCCCGGCATGGTGGCGGCTGTCTTCTCTTGAAACCGTGCAGTGAAAATCGAGTGCGCCCTCACCGGCACGCAGCTCCGGAGAGGGGTGGGGCAGGGACAGGGTCATCTCCATAGGGACCCAACAACACTGAGCCGCCACCCCGCCCCAGCGGCAGACCTGGACCTCCCCAGCTGCAGTGTGCAGAGCCGCCCGCCCCGTGCGGGCCACCGCCCTTCTCTCCGCAGTCGCAGCGCGAGGCCAGCTAGGTTCGGGTCCCGGCTCCTTTCCCCGTCCCCAGGGAGCTTGCCGTGGGAAAAAGCTTTCGTGGGGTCCTGTGGGTCGCGGCACGTCTCGGAAGCCCTACGAGGTGTCCAGCAGAGGTGCTAGACCCAAGGCCGTGGGACCCCAAGAAGAGACTCGGACACTGAAGCCAACATTTGCTTGATCTCAAACAAAGCCAGCGATGTTAATTAAGGCTGTGCTGAGGAAAGTGGAGTTTCTTATTTGTTGTCATGTTCATCTTCAGCAGATCCTGAGAAAATGTTAATATTTACTGCAGAATTACCAAGTTCAGCATTATACAGGAGGTACAAAAACAAAATCGCAAAAACAAAACCAAAAAACCCTTCCTCATTAGTTTCTGGTCAAAATGTCTTTTAAGTATTTATTGTGAAGCCTGTTTTTTTTTCTTTTGTATGTAATAGTTATGGCCATGAAAAGATGCTCACAATACATTACGTATAAAAAGCAGCTTAGAAAACCACCAGAATGGTACGATTTATTTTTTTTGCAACATGTTTAAGAAATCTGGGAGTATGTACACAAATAGGTTAAATGGTTTGCTCTGGTAGTTTTAAAAATCATCTGTAATTCAATTTTTTCTACAATGAATAAGCAACATCTATGTAATAAAAAAGTTTCATTCTAGTAAAGTTTCTTATGAGAGATGGGATCTTGCTATGCTGCCCAGGCTGGAGTGCACTATAGCCTAGGCAGCACAGCAACATCATTGTGCGCTGTATTTTTATTTTGATTTCAAATATATTTTTCTTTTTCATCTGTATGCCAGTAAAATCATCATCATGCACTATAGCCTAGAACTCCTAGGCTCAAGCAATCCTCCTGCCTCAGCCACCAGAGTAGCTGAAAGTACTGGTGCCTGTCACCAAACCAGGCCCTAAATTTTATTCTAATACAGGCACCGCATTTTTTCCTGTTGCCCTGGATATGTGTTTAAGGAGTGTGAAAGGATACAAATTAGATAAGCTAATATTTCACTACCTGGGACCCATCTGGGGCCCTGTGACACAAAGGGCAAATGAACCAAGTGAATAAACAAGGTCAATCCACTGCTCTGTCCCAACCCACAGGAACCAGCTTTTTGCTTTACTCTATCTCAGGACCAATCCAAGAAAAATTTCACATGACAAAGTATCCTTTCACTCTGTTAGACCCTAGAGTACTACCTTTTCCCCTTAAATCCCTATTCTCACAACCCAAATGAAGTTTCCTCCGTGACGCTGTAATTTTTAAAAGGGGTATTAAAAAGACCAATTAAATAAACTGATCAAAATACTTTGAATTCAGAAAGCCAAAAATTATTAAAATCAAAATTTGAAAAATATTCAATAAGTCCTCTCCTCCCCTCCCCCAATTAGGTGCTTATTTCTGTGGCCTGGAAACAAGGAGACAGAAGCATGAGCATCTTCTGCAACACAAAGGTAACCGAGCTATAAATAAGCAAAATGTGTTCTATCCATACCATGGAGTATGATTCAACCAAAAAAAGAAATGAAGTACATGCAATCACATGGATGAAGCTTAAATTCTTGAAAACATCATGCTAAGTAAATGAAACCAGTCACAAAAGGCCACGTATTGTATGATTCCATTTATACAAAATGTCTAGAATAGAAAATCCAGAGAGCTGGAAAGGAGGTTAGTGGCTGCCAAAGGCTGAGGGGCTTGGGGAACAAGGAGTGACTGTCAATGGGATTCTTTTTAGGGTGATGAAAATGTTCTAGAATTAGATAGATCACAGTGATAGGTATATAACTCTATGAATCTACTAACAATCACTGAATTGTACACTTTAAAGGGGTATATTTTATGACATGAATTATTGTTTCAATAAAGCTGTTTTTAAAAGGTGATGAAATGAATGTTTACTGAGCATTGCTGGTGTCAGCTCTTGTAATAGACATCTCTCTCTCTCTCTCTCTTTTTTTTTTGAGACAGAGTGTTGCTCTGTCGCCCAGGCTAGAGTGCAGTGGCGCAATTTCGACTCACTGCAACCTCTGCCTCCTGGGTTCAAGCAAGTCTTGTGTCTCAGGCTCCATGGTAGCTGGGATTACAGGAGCCGACCAACATGTCCAGCTAATTTGTGTGTATGTGTTTTTAGTAGAGGTGGGGTTTCACCATGTTGGCCAGGCTGGGTCTTGAACCCCTGACCTCAAATGATCCACCTGCCACAGCCTCCCAAAGTGTTGGTATTACAGACGTGAGCCACTGCGCCCGGCCTGTGCTAAGCATCCTATACGCCCTTTTTTACTTACTCCCCATATAACCACCACCAACTTGGTTACTGACCTCATTTTCTAGATTACAAAAAAAAAAAAAAACCCAACCTGAGTAAACGTGCATGAACACAAAGCTAAGCGGGGGCATAACGGGGATTCAAATTAACGTCTAAGTAACTTTAAAGCTCACATTCTTTCATCACACCAGTATTTAAATGTACACAAGGTACAGAATTTGCAAGGAAGTTCTAGAACCTCAAATTTTATAAACAGTTTACTTGTAAGGATTGAACCCTTGTATCGCCCAGATTGAAGACTACATGGGTTTCTTCAAAACAGACAACAGAGATTAATTTAAAACAACTACTTTATTAAAAAATAGCAAATCTCACAAATACTTATTTAATTTCTTATCACTGGCCATTGGAAAACACACCAACGTGTATACGGATTGTCTAACGTAAACTGAAGCTAGGCTGCCACAAGACGCCTGTGCATCATCAGCTTGCGATCAACACTGGAATAAGTTTGGTGAGCTCGGGAAAGAGAAATCCCTCAACCCCGTCAAGAACATTAGCACAATGCATTTCAAGTATAATCCCATAAGGCAACAATATGAAGCATAGCAGCACAATCTCTGCATCACATTTCCTGATTAAGCCTTCAACAAGGCCTAGGCCTCCAGTTATGGCGAATTATGGCGAGTCACATTTACTAAAAGCAGAATGTGAAAACGATCATTGCACTTGCACTTTAATTACTTTAATTCCTTGTTGTGGAAGATGATTCTGCTACTGGATTTGGCTGGAAAAGTAAAGACTGCTGCTTCTCTTCAAACCACAAGAAAGCAAACTGCATTCATTTTAGCTAGCAGAAGTATTTGGAACATCTTGTGCATCTGCCAAATGGAGTTTTTGTCTGAATTCATCAGTTAAGAAGATTTTCATTCTATAAGGGGTACTTCTTTTACATTTCTGAAAATTACATTCAGGAGCAAAGAGAAAGAGGTGTTTAAAACAGAGAGATGCTCAAAGGAAAAGCTCTTGTGTTGCTACTGAGACACTCAGATGGGGTAAGACAACTTTTAAACGTAGTAAATTATAGACAGAATTTGAAGACTCTTTTTTTTTTTTTTTTTTTTTTTTTAATTTTAGAGATAAAGACTCACTTTGTTGCTCTGGCTGGAAAGCAGTAGTACGATCATACTTCACTGCAGCCTCAAACTCCTGGGCTCAAGCAACCTTCCCACCTCAGCCTCCCAAAGGCACATGCCAACACACCTGGCTAATTATTCTTTGTTAGAGATGGGGGAGGAGTCTTGCTATGTTGCCCAGGCTCGTCTTGAACTCCTGGCCTCAAGCAACCTTCCTGCCTCGGCCTCCCAAAGTGCTGGGATTACAGATGTGGGCCACACCTGGCCCAGAATTATTTTTAATGTGTCAATAATCATTTTCATAGTAAGGAGCTGATTAGAGACAAATATGACAAGACACTAGATTAAAAAAACCTTTTGAGAAGACACTACTTTATCATCTTTGGGAAAACAATTCTGTTTAAAAGTCCAAAAATAAAATCATTACGGCTCTAAAATCTTTTCTATAATTCTCTTAATTGTTCCTCAAGAAGACTGGAAATAGGACAGGAATCTTGCATGGATTACTCATCCTTTCTTACGACCACTGTCTTTCATTTTTCTCACTGACCTGTATTTATCCACCTGTTACTTCTTTTTCAAGACCCAATTGAATGATATGAATACTCTGAAGGCAACTAAATGCTTGCAATACATGTATGGCAGAGGTTGCAAAAATGTACACACATAAGCATTGCCATCAAAGATATTCTCGTCCAGTTGGAAGGCTGAGATTTAACACATGTAAAAATCAACAGATAATAATATAGGGCAGAATGCTAGGTTAAGGTACAAATGAAATCCTTTATGGAAGTGGTCAGCTTGAATGTCATGTGATAAGGAGAACAAGGAGGTGAGAGTAAATTTAGGTAGGAGGTACAACCTGAACAAAGGCATTATGATGAGAATGAACATGATGTGTTTCTTGGGCATCCAGAAAACCAGCCTGAGGGGAATGAAAAAGAATGAAAAATACAACAGCATGTACAGGTTGTGACCAAATTATTAAGAACCTTTAAAATAGTTGACATGGTTTAAATAAATTAGTAAAAAATAGAAATGGCAGGAAGAAAGTGATGTTTCAAGAATATTAATTTTGTAGCAATGCCTAAAGTTTAGAGCAACACTGTCCAATAGAAATACTGGAATCACACCTGGAATCCCAGCACTTTGGGAGGCTGAGGTGGGAAGACTACTTGAGCCCAGGAGTTTGAAACCAATCTGGGCAACATAGCAAGAACCCATCTCTTAAAAAAGAAACAAACAAATGAACAAACAAAACCAAAAAAACAGCTGGGCATAACATACACCTGTAGTCCCAGCTACTCAGGAGGCTGAGGTGGGAGATCAACTGAGCTGACAGAGCAAGGCCCTGTCTCAAAAATATATATATAATATTTTAAGAACTATTTCAACATGTAATCATTATAAAAATTGAGATATTTTATGTTCTTTTAAGGCTATTAAGTCTTTGAAATGGCTTAGTGGCTACTATATTGAACAGTGCAACTCTAGACCTGGAACAGAAAACTGAAAAAGTATGGACTCAGACGATGAGGTCCTGGATTATCATGTAGAGAGTGAAGGAAGAATAAAAGCAGAACTGATGATACTGATGGTGCCTGACAACTGTTATAAAGAGATGGCAAACAGACTTCATATCCAGATCCAGGCTCAGTGGCAGAGAATGCCATGTCTGATTAGCAATGTCTGCCATGGTCCTCGAAGGCATTTTAAAATATTCTTGGAGACTGAATTAACAGAGGCAGTCATGACAGAGAGGGAAATTATGAGGGGAAAGTTTCAGTACTGAGAGAACACCTATTACAGGTGAGGAAACTATGGTTGCCAGATTTTGTTCAAGGTCACATGGCTGCCTACCAAGCATTCCAAAGCCTACACTGTTGTATTATATAGGGTATTATGCTGCCACGTTTGTGGTGGCTAAATTCCACCACAGGTTGAGTCACAGAAACTGGTAAAACAAAACAAAACAAAAAATTCTAAATGTTTAACAAAAACTCACAAAAAAGGGCTGGGCGTGGTGGCTCACGCCTGTAATCCCAACACTTTGGGAGGCTGAGGCGGGCAGATCACCTGAGTCGGGAGTTCAAGACCAGCCTGGCCAACATGGTGAAACCCCATCTGTACTAAAAATACAAAAATTAGCTGGGCATCGTGGCAGGCACCTGTAATCCCAGCTACTCAAAAGGTTGAGGCAGGAGAATTGCTTGAACCTGGGAGATGGAGGTTGCAGTGAGCAGAGATTATGCTACTGTTTCAGCCTGGGCAACTGGGCAAGACCCGTCTCAAAACAAACGAAAAAACCACACAAAAGGATAGGAAATACTTAAGTGTCATGGCAGAGAAAGAATATAAAGCATTGAAGGAATATAGTAAAAAGAACTTCTTGCAGGAAAAGCCCCTTGATTAACTCAAATCTTACCCCCTTCTTTAACTCTTTCTTGACAATAATCTTACATTAATCGCTCCCCACAGTTTATGTAGCACCTTATATTCTTCATCTGCAAAATGGAGGGCATAACACTACCTACTTCCAAGTAGGGCCAAATAAGATAATGCACATACCCTTTATACAGTACTGGGAAAACAGTAAGTATTCATGAAGATTAGCTATTAATTGCCATTACAGGACTTCTATATACTTCCCGATTTCTTTTGCCCAGGCTGGAGTGCAATGGCATGATCCCTACTCACTGCAACCTCCACCTCCCAGGTTCAAGCAATTCTTCTGCTTCAGCCTCCCAAGTAGCTGGGATTACAGGCGCCCTCCACCACACCTGGCTAATTTTTGTATTTTTAGTAGAGACAGGGGTTCAAGATGTTGGCCAGGCTGGTCTTGAACTCCTGACCTCAAGTGATCCACCCACCTCAGCTTCCCACAGTGCTGGGATTACAGGCATGAGCCACTGTGCCTGGCCCCAATTTCTTAATTGTTGTTACTGCACAATTCAGCAGTTAATAACAGTATGAATATAATCTTATAGCAATAATAGTAATTTTTATACATATATTTTGGAAATTTTCACATATGCATCATCACATGTAGCAATTACCCGGTATTACAGAGAACACTCTGAGATGCTAAACAATTTGCCCAAGGTTACATGATCAAAATGTAGAACCAAACTTCAAAAATTAAATCTCTACAACCAGTATCCTTTCTATGTCAATAACTGGTTCAAAGGGAATGTCTTACCTCTCAAATTATTTTATAGGCAGGATCATTTCTCATTGTTCTTTTGTACCTTACCATTGTGCCTGTTATGTTCAAAAGTACATTTTGAAAAGTTCTTAAAATAATTGCTCTCAATTTAGATGTCAAAACCTGAATATTCTACATGTGTCTTGGTGATCTCCTTTAAGTTAATCCTATAAAACACTAAGTACATTTAATTATGAAATGTCATTTCACAAGCTATGTAAGCATCCCTTGAAGCCTGCATTTTAATAATGTCTAGTTTTCAATTTTATGCACCTAAAATATCCTATGTGATGATATTAAATTAAGTATAGTATATATGTCTGAATATCTCACTGCTGGTTAGCCTCAGAATCTAAGCTTCAAAATAATTTACATAGCAACTAACCTAATCCTTAGTTCTCA